GGTTGATTTACCCAGGAAATGGGATAGCACTTCTGGGTAATCCTGAAGGCCCACATAAGGATTGTGGATGTAAATTTAAAGTGAGGTCAATGAGCAGGGCTGTATCTTTTTCCCCAGCAATGTTTAGCTGCCCTAGTACAGACTTACTGTACGGAGAAAGTTGGATATAACAAAGTTAGTGGTTTCTCCTGACAAATACAATAGGAGGCTATTGATTTCCCTGGCCAGAGAACATATTCTGAATAATTTGAAATACCTGGAGATTTTTTTTTATTATGTTTTTGGTCCACTTAGCCTAACAGCTACTGAGAGGTATATTGAAATTTCGCACCATGGTTGTAGTTCTATCCATTTCTGCTTTAAAATTATAATACCTCCTGGGGGGAAGACTCCTTTATTCTTATAAAATATTCCTCTTTATTTATGATGATGCTTCTTGCCTTAAAGTCTATTTTAGTCTGAGTATAGCTAAATCAGATTTATTGCGATTAGTGCTGTCATGGTGTAATTTCCTATCCTTTTACTTTCAACCTTTCTATGTCCATATATTTAAGGTGGTCTTTTATAAAGTCTTTAGGCTTTTATCTAGTTTAATAATCTTGGTCTTTTATTTGGAGTATTTGATCCATTTATGTTTAATGTAATTAATTTATATAGTATTAAGTACCATACTGTTTTTTAATTTGACCTGTTTATGTTGCTTTTCTCTCCTTTTTACTTTTTGAATTAAACACTTTTATTATTCCATTTTCCCTCTGTTAGCTTGTTGACAATTCATTATTTTATATTATTATTATTACCACCATTGAGATTACAACATACATCCTTACCTCAATACAGTTTCATACAAATTACTTCCCCATTAATGATAGAACCTTAGAACAACTAGCTCTTTTAATTTAACCCTCCCTCCAACCTTTTGCATTATTGTAGGAATGAATTTTAACTCTACATATAATTTAACCCCTGAAGAAATGCCTATAATTATTTTGTACAGTTGATAGTCATTTATATTCACCCACATATTTACCTTTTCCATTGCTCTTTATTCCTCTGAGATATATAGTTAGGTCTGGGATCATTTTCATTCTACCTGAAAATGTTCTTTAATGGTTCTTTTGGTGTAGGACTGCTGACAACAGAGTCTTGGAGTTTTAGGCTGTTTGAAAATAAAAATACATAAAGGACAAATAATGTTAAAGTATATTTTCACTGGATATAGAATTCTACATTATTAGCAATTATGTATTTTCAGCATTTTAAGATGCTTCTCCATTATTTTCCCATTCTTTTTGTTAATAGGTAATACTAGTATATCAAACTAATTTTCAGATTTTTCTCTTTGGTCTTTAGCAGTTTTACTAAGATGTGCCAGCTAATGTGTTCTTTGTATTTATTTTGATTTAGGGTTTTTAGAGGTTCTTGAATGTATGAATTGCTATATTTCTTCAAATAGTATGCTCATTCTCTCTTGCCTCTTCTTTTGGAACTTTTTTTTTTTAATTAGACCTTTCCATTGTCTCTCACTTGTCTTTTTCACTCTCATTTCCCATCCTTTTTTGGCTCTTTGTGATTCAATTTGGGTATGTTCTATCAACCTTTCAGTTCACTAATTCTATCTTCTGTGTCTAATATGGATATTTTTTAAACCTATTTATTGAGCTCTTAATTTCAGGCATTACATTTTTTACTTTAGAATGTCTACTTAATTCCAAATTACCTTTTTATGGATCACCTGGAGGTCTGTTTTGTTTTGTTTTTGTTTTTTAATGTTGTTTTCAGTCATATAGCCTGTATCTTGGAAAGCCTAGTAATTTTCTTGCATGCACAACAACATTCCATATAAAATATTTTAGAAACTTTAGATGGCTGCCATCCACCAAATGGCATCCACCATTTCCTTGTTAGGCAGAAATAATAGAGAATGAATATTTTTAATCTTACCAAGTACTACGTTGAATCAAAGCTGAGTTGAAGTTTTTGTAAAGCTTCACTCCTGGGCCTAATGTGTTCTTTAGGACCTTTCCCTTTGTTCCTCGGCATCTTGAGACTGTGGGCAAGTCCGTTCTGAATTGGAAGAGATAAGCCAAAAATCTTAGACTCTTGCTCCTCAACAGCTCACATGAGAATATGAAATATGATGAGAAAGGTTAAGCAGAAAGAAGAGATAATGGCTACAGTCCAAACCTTAGGGAGGTTTTGCTGTGAAGAGGGCAGACAATATCTGGAAGAGGTATGAGCAGTCAGGAGGTATTTTTAAGAGAGAGAGAGTGTACAAGAATCTAGAGAGTGTCATGGTGGTATCATTGCTGGTGTGTTAAGAAGCTCTGGGTAGAGGAAGACAGTGGCAGATCTCCAAGCTTTTGGTAAGTGAAAAGAGTAGCCAGGAAGCTGGGAGTAACAGGAGTATCTATAGACATGAACAAAGGACCTAAGTGGAAGTATGTGAAGTGTAGAAAAGCAATAACAGCCTTGGGGCTTCAGAAAACAGGAGGTTTTAATAAGAGCAAGAAAGTAAAATGAGACTTCAAAGATGGTGCTGAATGGAGAAAAAAACAATATACTTCAGCAGATAAAAAAATCAAGAGTTCAGTTTTGTAAATGTTAAGTTGAGCTCATCGACAGAGGAGTGAACTCGAACGTCCTCAGGGTGCAGTGGGTTAGCTGCAGCCATGGATTGGGTGAGCTCCTCCAGGGCCAGGATGTAGACAAGAGAAGGTCGAAGCTGAAGGCCCGGGACATGCCAACGTTCAGAAGTCAGAATGAGGAAGATAAAAGCTAGGGAGGTGGGAGGCTGAGTGAAGAAAATGTTTCCAAAAGGAAATAATTAACCATGTGAAATCTTGCTGAAATGTCAAGTAAGAGGAGGATCACAAAAAATGACCCTCTGAGCCCTGGCCGGGTGGCTCAGTAGGTTGGAGTGTCGTCCTGTGTACACCAAAAAGTTGCGGGTTTGATTCCTGGTCGGGGCACATACCTAGGTGGCAACCAATTGATGTTTCTCACATCAATTTCTCTCTTTCTCTCTAAAATCAATAAACATCTCTGCGGGTAAGAATTTTTTAAAAAATGATGACCCTCTGAATCTGACATGAAGGACTAGAAACTGTCAGTGAAGTGATGAAGACAGACACGTGGTGGGAATGGGGAAAGGAAAAGTGGATTCAGGGACTCCACAGACAGTTCTTCAGAAGTTTTGACCAATGGGGTTTTCTCTCCTAAAATCTGAAAAGCTAGAATCTGGTTAGTTGAAATATAAGTTATGGTGGCTGAGATGTGGAAGAAGGAAAGATCATTGAAACCAAGAAGGAACTGAGAATGAATCATCATAGAACAGGGTTTAGAACTTATAAAACTACATTACAAACAGAAGAGAGAAAAGTCTCCATTTGCCAGGGCCACGGGGGAAGCGCTGTCCTCGGGGGAGAGCAGAGTATGAGTCACAGCAGTAAAAATAACCAGCCTGGTGCTATGGTTTGAGTCCCAGCAGCTCCCGCTGACGGATGTGCAGGACAGAGGCCGTGGAAAGATAAGGTGAGAAAGGATGATCTCCGATGACCCAGGAGAAGGGGCCCACTCACCAGTATCCGGGCCATGGAGCAGCCTGGGGAAGGATGCTGAGGGTCTAAGAGGCCCAACAGGCTTCCAGGAGATGTGATGGACGGGTCCTCGGCTGGTTCTTAAGTGGATAACTTAAAGCTTCTGTGTTTAGGCTTTTGTTAAGATGCTCCAGATCTCTCCTTTAAGTAAAACACACAAGAAGTTTTTAAAAGGGAGAAATTGTTGACCACCAATTTTATGCCTCTGAAGACAACAAACCCAGAAGGCAGGCTTCTGCACTGGGCTGCCTGCCACTCACCCAGGAGCAATGGCCACGTGCACAACACCCAGAAACGACCATTGTGTCAGCCCCTACGACAACCATGACCAACATGTCTTTTTTTTTTTTTCGTTCAAGTCCATAGGTGTGGACCCTCTGCCGGCTAAGCTGTCCTATGACAAGTCACATGACCAAGTGTGGGTCCTGAGCTGGGGGGACGTGCACAAGTCCCAACCAAGCCTCCAGGTATGTTGAACACATGGAGTCTAGCCCCTGCCCCACAGGAAAAGCCTCTCTCCCTGTTTGTCTCCCACTTCCCTAGTGACTAATCTCATTTATCCAAAATATGTCCATAAGGGCTTAAGGAGAGAGTAGGAAACAGCCTCAGGCCAACACTCCTCACAGGCAATGGACAGGGTGTCTTCAGCGAGGCCTGCAGTTAAAGACAGTAATACCCATAATGGGTAGGATCTCATGGTATGACAATCAGAATGCGGCTCCCAGGCCCCACAACACCTGTCCCTCCTGAGCCAGGATCTCCTGGGGTCAAACAGCATGAAGACTGGCGTCCAGGGAGGAAGAAAGGAGACAGGCTCTCTTCACCTTGGGCTGGGCGGGCTAGAGATTTAGTGCCAAAGCAGGCACTAGCTGCTGGCCAATAAGGAAGGGGAAGGAAAGGAAGCAGCAGCAATTATGTCCATAAATGGAAGTGTGTTTATGGAGTGCCTCCAGGGTGGGAGGGCACAGAAAAGTTAGGTAATCTGCCCATGGTCCCACTCCTTCCCGCAGCAGGCTCTGCAGTCCCCACCTCCAGCTGCTGTACCCCGTCCCGGGAAGAGCTTGGGCCCCAGGGATCTGTGGGATTCCTCCCTCTGCCAGCCAGGGAAGAGCCATGCCACCCCTGTGTTGAGTGTGTGTGGCTCAGCCTTTCTCATCAGGGATGCACCAGAGGATGAAGATCTACATAATGTAATTTGAATGCCTGTTTTCTCAATTCACCCCAAAATGGTGCATAGAACCATTCTAGATGCACAGAAAAGGTAATTCGTTACATACAATGGATGCCTCAGGGTTTAATTCTTTCTCGGAACCCCAGCTGAGAAAGGGCTGCAGATGGAGCCAGGTTCACTCTGTTCCCAAGACTCTAGAGAAGCTTCCTCCGGGGACTGGCCTCCTGCCTGCCTTTGCTGCACCAGGGGGAGGGCACAACTTCACCACATGTGAACTGAGACTATGTCGGCGATTGAACTCATCCACCAGTCCTGAGCCTCATGAGCCTACAACAAATAACAACCCATTAGAACTTCTAGGGCCCAAGATAAAGGTCACTCAGAATGGAGGCTAAGCCCAGAGAGATGGGCTTATTATTGGGCCCTCTGGCAGCTCTAAGAAAGCACCTGAGGAAGCTCTATGGAGGGACCACCACCAAAGATTCCTCTGGAACTAAAAATGAACAAAATGCCTTTCTAATTGTCGACTGCAGTAGATAAATTGGGAAATGCATGGTTTCTACCGAGACCCAAATATATGAAGAGACTGAGACTCAACATCTCCGAACATGGAAGTTCAGAAAGAGAAAAGGAAACTGTTGGGATGGAGTCCAACATAAATACATTTGGAATAAAATTTCCAAGAGGATCTACAACTTCCTGGCTAGACTTATGAGAAATGACACATCTCTGCCCTTGTTGGTAAAAGAGTAGAGGGGAAATCTTACAAGGCAGAAGGGACAAGTTACCTGTAGAAGAAACAACAATCCGATGGGCCTTGAACTTCTCACCTGCAACAGGAGCTGGAAGACCGTGGAGTCACATTAGTTAGATATAAGGGCTGATGTCCAAGAATCCTGTGCCCCACCAAGATATCATTTACCTCAGGACAAAGGAAAGATACAAGAATATGCAGAATCCGGAGAGCGTATCACTCATGTGCACCACCTGAGAAACCAGATCAGAGACATCAAGATGGAGAAGGAAAAGAGGAGACAGTCATAAGTAAGGAACCTGGAGAGGACGGTGTAAAACTAAAAGTAAGATGGGTGCCATAGCTGGGTGGCTCAGCTGGTTGGAGCATTATCCCACACACCCAAAGGTTGCAGGTTCGGTCAGGGCACATGCCTAGGTTGCGGGTTTGATCCCTGGTCGAGGCACATGCAGGAGGCAATCCAAGATCAATGTTTTTATCTCTCTCAAAATCAATCAAAACATATCATTGGGTGAAGATTAAAACTAAATGTAAGTTGGATGAGGAGAATCTATCTGGAAAAGTATAATCAGTGCTAAGTAAGGGTGTTAGAATTAGCAGAGACACACTGCTAATTATTAAATTATTTTAGTAAAAATGAGAGTACAGAGTGGAGCGTGGAGCGAAGAGAAGGAAATAAGAATACTCAAAAGTGTCATCTTGTTGGGAGAAGAGAGAATATAGAGAATGTTTTAAATTAATAGCTGAGAACTGAATTCTGTTCAAAGCAGAGGTGATCAGGTTGGGCTTTAGAAAAAGAAGGAAAGAAAGAAAGAAAACTAACTCTAATGTGTTTATAAGAAACACACAAAACAAAATGATGAGATTAAATTTAAAGGCCTAGAAATAGTGATGATAGGGGAGCTAAGAGATACGTACAAGTGGTAATATTAGTACCAAACAAGGTGGGACTTAAGGTTAAAGGTACTCACTCACCAGCATAAGGAGAGACGTGACAACAAACAGCCAGTAGATATCCAACAGCATGACAACTAAATACATAAGAACATTTGAAAATACAAAGAGAATTTTATTTAAAATACACTTATATTATAATACCAAGGAAACAAATAGATGACATGGGAAAATTGAATAATGTGAATAAGGAACTTGGTTTAATTAATATATAGGAAACCTTTTGTCTGGCAAATAGTTTTTTCACATGTTCACATATAAATAAGTATCAGTAATCATGAAGAAAACATTTACAAATTTTATAGATGTTATAGACTACATTATCTGATAATTAGAATTAATATGTGACCTAAATAAAATGTGACCTAATAAGGAAACACTCCTAGATCATTATTGGATCAAAGAGGAAATTAAAAGGGAAGTTACAAACTGTCTGAAAATGAGACCTTTTCACATCAAAACCTATGGGAGGCAGAGAAAGTGTCCACAAGGAATATTTGTGTCTTAAAAGCCTGCAAAGCAAGTATTTGTGTTAAGATATTAGGAAAAGAACAACATAACTGGTAAAAAGAGACATTAAGAGAAACAAAATAAAGAACAAATAGAGAAACGGACATACAACACAAATAAAAACAGGAAAAAAATTCCTCACATCTGATAAAGGAAAAAGGCAAAATGAAGAATAAAAGAGGGCTATGATTATAGATACAGGAGAATGAAAATAATTGTAAAATAATACTACATTGCAGTTCTGGGGCAGCAAATTTTAAAACCTAGAAGAAATGAATGATTATTCATTTACAAAATGTAGGGGGAAAAACAAACTGACCTAAGTAAAGGAAAACTTAAACTAGAACAATTATTTGCCAGAGAGGTTTCTAAAAGATTAAAGGTCTATCATAGAAAAATGTATATCTGAGTTTTCTCAAATCTTCAAAATACAATTTTAGTATTATTTTAACTTCTCAGATCATGGGGTGAAATGTACAGCTCCTTTATTTGTTTTAAATAACCAGTATAATTATAAAAACTGATTAGTTTATATTTTTATTCTATTTTTAATCTCACAAATACAAAAGCAAAATTCTAATCATGGTATTAGATGTATAGTCCAGCAATGCATGTAATTGCTGAAGCAGGGAACAAATTAAGTTCCCAGATGCAATGATGGTTCGCTCCCAGGAAATCAGTCAACATTTTATATAACACAAATTAAAACAGAAAAAAAAAACTAAGATATTTCCAATAAATGCTGAAAGGCATTTAATTAAATGCAGCAGTCTTAATAAAATACCTAAAAATAAGACTAGAAGGAAATTCCTTAAATATAATGAAGACTATTTCCCAGAAACCAAGAGCAAATTTTGCCTAAATGACAAAGCACTAAAAGCATTTTAATTAATTTCAATAATTAAACCATGATGTCCTCCATCACCATAATTGGCAAGTCTAGGAAATGTGCACTATGACAAGAAAATGAAATAGATTGAATAAGCCTACCTTTATTGCTGTCGGCCGGGGTTAGGGAAATGAGCACTTCCAGAAAGATCAACGACACAGCCTTTGTGATGAGTAATTTGGAAATGTGAACCAAAAGCTTCAAAACAGTGCTTTTTGATCCAGCAACTTGACTTCTCAGAGCTTATCGGAAGGCCGTGATCATGGATACGGACAAAGATTTAGCTGTGTGTTACTACATTGTATTATAGACTGATGAATTTCAAAGGCTGGGGTGGGGGGGATTTGAGGGGGAGCGATTAACGGGGGAACTTATATGCATAGATGCATAGCCCATGGACACAGCCAATAGTGTGGCAAAGGCTTAGGAGGGGTGGGTTCGAGGAGGAGGGGATTATGGGGGCGGAGGGGGGGGACGACAAAGCAGACATCTGTAATGCTTTCACCAATAAAGATAAATCTAAAAATAATAATATCCCAATGTTTCTAAATATCCAACACTAAGGAATTGGCTACACAAACTTCGCTGTGACTACAGGAAGATGCTTCTCTAAAGGAGGCCCTCCCCCAGCAGCCAGTGCTGGAACCTTTGGCATCTTCCTGACTCCTGCCCGGCACTCACTTACCCGCTCACTCCCAGGCCCAGCTTTCAGCTGCCTCTCAGCCTGTTCCACAGGACACCTTGTCCCCTCCCCTTCCCCAAATGTCACTTTTCAGCTGACTTGTCCACCCTCTGAGGGAGATGCTCAGTCTTCCTTACCCCACGCTGACCAGCAAATGACCTCTGCTGTCCAGCTACATACACACACCTCCTGTCCCAAGCTCTCAGAGCCGGCAAATTTGAGGGGTTCAATTATGTTGGAGTCCCTGATGCACCCAGCCACGTGCTGGTACACAAGCCAAGGAACTCAAGGCTGGTTGGAGCAATGGCGCGGGCATGCCCACAGCAGTTCAATGGCCCGCTGCACTGTGTTTTGATGAAGTAACCTCTGAACATAGGGTGTCAGAGTGGTCAGCGTGAATGACACGGGCCGCTGACAGCCTGTAACCTTCCATCTCTATTATAAGCTAAAACGACAGGCCTGCTATCAAGCAAGGATTGCATAGCTTCGTGGATTTTTCTGGCATTTTCCCCTCGACTCTCCAAGATCCCGTTTCCTAATGCTGAGACTTCCTTCATGCCCAGAGCTTTTCCTCACGGACTTGCCATGAAGTGTCGTTTGGCCTTTTTTTAATCACAGGAAAATGACCTAATGCAACCGTAGAGCTTTAGAGCTGCCCAAGGTTGAAAGTGACGGCTCTCGTCGTTCTAATCTGGCATTCTGCCTGCCGTCCCCTGGGAAGCATGGTTCGGAAAAGATTCTACCCTCAAACCTGCCTGAGGAGGCACCAGGTGCTGTTTGTTTCACCATAAAAATAAGAGCTAGAAGACAATTTCATTCGAAAAAGCAAACAGCATCCAGGGTTGAAAGCCATGGGAGTCACCAAGCCCCGCCCGGCTCGTCGGCCTGGGGCTGCCGAGATCTGGATCCTTCCTTCCGCGCACGCGGCCACCAGGTGCAGGTCGGGAGTACCCACCTCCCTGTTCCGGGTCTGGCCTCTGCCTCCTGTGCCGCTCACAATCTCTGGGCTTGTTCTTGCGGGGCCCTCAACATTGCCCGCAAGCTGGCCAAGCTCCTCGCCTGGCGGCAGGTCAGCCACCTTTCAGGGCAATGGCCCTGGACTTGGAGGCTGATGAGCACGTGAAAAGGCAGAGGACACAGGCTGCCTGGCTCGGTGTCTCCGGCCTGCCAGGCCCGAGGCCTCAGTAGCTAATGGGCAGGTCGATGCCCGGCCTGCCCACAGGGAGCGCTCTGGCAGGACCTGCACACCACTCTCCTCCTCTCTAGCCTCAGACATCACTTGACTGTCCGCACTGCCAACGTGCCCGTACCTGTGCAGACAGCAGGGACGCACGCCGGGGAGTGGCTCAGGTCACCCCCACGGGGAGAAGTGTAACCTCCAGGGAAACAGAGGCAGCCCTGCTCCGTCTTCACCAATTTGTACCAAACACAAGGCCTGACTCCTTACTTCTCACAGGAAGTCCCTTTGTGAACCTGAACCTCTCCCCGTCGTTTCAATCACAAGGCCTCTGGTGGCACGACCAGCACCCCTAAAGGGCACCTCTGCCAGATCCCCGCTTTCTGTAATACGCCACGGAGTCACAGCCCTCGGAGCACGCCTCGGTGAGCAGTATGCGACAGATTCCCAGCAAACCAGCCCAGACACCTGGCATCAACGGAAAATAACCAGTCATCAGTTCCACAGTTTCACATTCTCATCACTTAAGGCTCTCTCCTTTTTCCCAGGGCGGCCTAGGTGTTGAGAAGGTGGGCTTCCCTGCTGGTGGGGAAGTTGTATCTGAGCAGAGTGATGTTTCGGTTCTGGGACCTCCCTCCAAAGCCCCAACACAAGTCCAGCTCAGTCCCCGCGCTGCAGTCACCACAGCCGACAGCGTGCAGCAGGTCATGCCAGGCAGAGTGGGAGGGAACAACTCACTCCTGTCCCACCACTTCCTGTCCTGCCTGTGCCATTCCACTCTGCTCCCGCCCCTTCCCAAGACTGTGGCTTGTCCATCATCTCTCTCTAGCAGCCTGTCTGCTGGGGAGCATGCAGAGGTCCCCAGGTTTCCAGCCCCCCACTAGGCCGGGCCCTCACAAGGACTCCTGCTCTCTGTCATAGGTGATCACGGAAGCCAGCACCGGCCAGGGCCAGCACCTCATCCGCACACCCTTTGCGGGAGTGGACGACTTCTTCATTCCCCCAACAAACCTCATCATCAACCACATCAGGTGAGACCCGCCGGCGAGGCCCCCAGGGGGACACCTTCGCCCAGGGTGGGGCCTGCTCCTGTCTCTGTCTCCCCCACTCCCCTTGGGCTGGCTTCGAACCGCATCAAGAAGGAACAGAGAGCCCTAACTGGTTTGGCTCAGTGGATAGAGCGTGGGCCTGCGGACTGAGGGGTCCCAGGTTCGATTCCGGTCAAGGGCATGTACCTTGGTTGCGGGCACAGAGTGTGCAGGAAGCAGCTGATCGATGTTTCTGTCTCATCGATGTTTCTAACTCTCTATCCCTCTCCCCTCCTCTCTGTAAAAAATCAATAAAATATATTTTTTTTAAAAAAAGAAGGAACAGAGAAATGGACCCATCCCTAGTCTCTAATTGTTAAAGTTCAGGAAGGTACCCAGCTCTTAATGTCCTGGGGGGGCCAGTGAGGTCAAGGAGTCGCATCCTCAAGGTGAGGACAACAGGGGAAAGGAGAAACAGCAGTAGTTAATGTAGCACCTCTCCTTGCTAGACACACAAAGCTAGTAGAAGTGGTCTCGAACCTATTTTACAGATGAGAAAACTGAGGTTCAGAGAAGTTAGGACACTGGCCAAGGTCACACAGCCAGGAATTGGCAGTCAGACTAAATGCAAAGCCAGGTGTCCTTTGAGTGCCCCATCCCGCCTCATTCTCTGCTAACCACAGCCCATGGTTCCTCTCAGAGCCCCCAGAGCAGCCGTGCAGGGGGGCCTACCAGGAAACAAGGCCCCCTAGGTGCCTGGTTGCCTCCATCCTAAAGAAGAGCCTTATCATAACAGTCCTGACCTCCGAGGCAAACCTCCTCCCCTCCTGGCCACTCCCCCTACTCATTTCAGAGCGCCCCTGACACTTGCTGTGAAGTCACCACTGCCAGGACTAAGCCTGCCCTTGATAAAGTCATCGAGACCCAGTTGTCACGTGGCACTGTTTATGCCTTCCTTCGACCTGACACCACCTCTCTCCAGGAAGGAATGACTCATTGTTGCAAGCTGATGCTGGACGTGTAAAAATACGACTCACCCATGTATGCTGGCCCAAGGAGGAAAATCACCACTTTCTGCCTCCTCCTCCTCACCCCCCCCCACACCCCCCACACACCCCTCCCCCCCCCTGCACTGCAGAGAGTGCCTGGGGAAGAGCCTCTAATGAGGTTCTAAATGGGGGCGCCCCCTCAGAGCAGCTGAATTCAGCTGGGAGTCGTGCAAATGCAAGGACTCAGCAGCCCCTGTGTGTGGCTTTCACATTAAAGTTCCTTAGAAGAGTGGGTTTTCTTCCTGCTCTGTCCATGCTCTGGCTCTTTAAGGATGCTTCATAGATGCTCTAAAGTGGGCCTTGTCCCCACTCTGAGGCGCCGCTTCGAAAGGAAGTCGTGAAGCGATTTTCCTCTTCCTGCGGGGTGATGAGTGTCAGAACGCCTCCAGAGCAAAGGGGAGGCCTGCCTGGAGCCACGCATTTACTATCGAGGCATTTCGGGGCGTCCAAATGTGAGCTGCTACCACCCACTGAGCTCTTCCACCAAAGCTTCCTCTTAGATTTGATCCTCCCCAACACCCTCCAAGGAACAACCTCTTTAGATTCCCGGAGGCTCAGAGGGGAAAGCAAGGGCCCCGGGCCCTGCGGGCTGACGGGGCCCTCAGCAGCATCAGGCCTTCCGGCTCCAAAGGTGAAAAAAGCCTCTCGGCCCCCTGCCCACCAGCATCATATACGCGGCCGGAGAGGGGCTGCCCTTCCTGTTCCCGGGAGAGGGAACACTCTTTGGAAACCTGGGCTTCACTGAATCTGCGTCCTCCAATCCCGACTCACCAGTTAGTCCAGAACCCAGCGGGACGCTCGCTGTCCTTTCCCTGCAGGCACAGGCCACCCCTTCCCAGCTGGCACAGGGCCTCAGGGAGACGCAGTGGCAGGCACCTTTACCCTCCCGTGCCATTTCTAACCATTAGTGCATGCACGACAGCGTCTGACCCGGAACCTTGGTAACGCTCTTCCTGCTGGAGATCGCAGATGAGTCACTTAGGAAGCCGTCCCCTGCAGAATGGCAGACCTTCCCCGGGGGCTGTCAGGTCCCTGAAGGCTTGTGATAGAGGGACAGAGAAAGGCTGCAATCCTGAGAGAGGAATGACAGATCCCCGACCCCGAAAGGCCTCTGACCTCTGACCTCAGTTCTCCCCTCCCAGGTTCGGCTTCATCTTCAACAAGTCTGACCCTGCAGTTCACAAGGTGGACCTGGAAACGCTGATGCTCCTCAAGACCATCGGGCTGCAGCGGCACGGCTGCCTGCCGCAGGCCATGGCCCACACCCACCTGGGCGGCTACTACTTCGTGCAGTGCCGGCGGGACGGCGCCACGGCCGCTCCACAGCTGCTCATCGACAGTGTCACCGACGCCGTGGTCGGCCCCAACGGTGAGGTGACCGGCACCCCACACACGTCCCCCGACGGCCGCTTCGTGGTCAGCGCTGCCGCCGCCGGCCCCCAGCTGCACGTGCAGGAGGTCACACTGCGGGGGGAGATCCGGACCCTCTACGACCTGAAGATCGGCCAGGGCATCTCCGACGTGGCGTTCCAGCGCTCCTTCGCCCACAGCAACCAGTACTGCGTCTACGCCACGCTGGAGGCAGAGCCGGACCTGCTGTTCCTGGAGCTGGCCACGGGGCGGGCGGGCGTGCTGAAGAACTTCAAGGAGCCGCCCTCGGGGCCAGCCGGGCCCTGGGCAGGGCCCCGCAGGATCGTCAGGGACAGCGGGCTGTTCGGACAGTACCTCCTGACGCCAGCCCGGGAGTCACTGTTTCTCATCAACGGACGACAAAACACGCTGCGGTGCGAGGTGTCGGGCGTAAAGCGGGGGACCACGGTGGTGTGGGTGGGCGAGGTATGAAGGTGGCCAGCGCAGAGCCCGGGCCCCCGGGCCCCACCTCGTCCTGACACCCCAGCCCCGAGCTGGCACCCTGTACATTTTTACAGACAAAAGCAAAAACCTGTATTCGCTTCGTGGTTCGACACTGGTCTCCTTGCAAGTTTCCTCGTCTAAGGTATGCGCTGCTCACCAGGCGGGGTGTTCTCGTCGGGAAGTATGAGTGCGCCTTAGGCTACGGCGAGAACCCACGCTGCCGTGTAAAGGAGGCATTTCCATGCCCGGCTCCACGCCATGTGACCGGGGACACAGTGGAACCCAGCGCTCCTGCTTTCCAGGCGGGCATCTCCGTCGGTTGCCTTCACATAGTCATTCTCCTTCACCGCCAGACCCAGCCAGACTGCACCCCGCGCAGGGGCCTGAGACAGGGCCTGGGCACGGCCGCCGGGAGCAGGGGCCTCCCTCCGGCCGGAGAGCCACACCTGCCCTCGCTCTGCTCCTTTTCCTCCTTCGCAGCTGCTTCCTGCTTTTCTTTCCATTTGACTTGTGGTACGCCTGAGAGAGAGCCAGTAAGACTTACTGCAGCTTGGGGGGGTGGGGAAATCACTCACTTTATTTTGGAAATTTTGATTAAAAAATAATTTTTTATAATCTCAGATGCTAGTGAGCAGAAAGGCGCTCTCCGAGGTCCAGCTCTGTTCGTCCCTGCCTTGGGCCGAGTCTCTGAGAGTCACCACCCCACATCCCCCAGCCGGAAAGAACAGTGGTCATCAAGGAGTGATGGTCTCTACAGCACTGACACCCCCAAGTGCAGATCGGCCACCACACTGGCAAAGGCTGCGTTCTGGGCTGGGACCCCACGACACTAGGACAAACCCTGTGTGCCTGCTTTTCACCATGGAAGGGGGGCATTGTTTAGTTAGTTATTCCTCACTCGAGGATATTTTCCTATTGATTTTGAGAGAGAGTGGAAGGGAAGGGGAGAGAAAGAGAGAAACATCGATTGGTTACCTCCTGCACGCGCCCCAACCAGGGCCAAGGATTAAGCCTGCCACCGAGGTACATGCCCTTGACCGGAATCGAGCCTGGGACCCTTCAGTCTGTGGACCGACGCTCTATCCACTGAGCCAAATCGGCTAGGGCTGGAAGGAGGACATTTTATTAGCCAGGCCCGGATTCAAGGCAGACTGGGCTTGCCTGGCAAGGTGTGGGCAGCCGGCAGGATAGCAGCCTCCGGACTCACTGCTGAAACCCCGAGGACACAGTGGTGTCCAGGCAGGTTCCCTTTTAACAACCAATTTCCTCTCTGCCTGTGGCCCTTGCGCTCAGCTCTGGGGCCCCTCGTCCCTGCATCATCGCAGCGCAGTCAGTCCAGGGAGGGCCCCGGTATTTCTTACACACGGCCCCGTCTCCCCAGGAGCACACACTCCGAATCTCAGAATCGGAAGGATGCAGGCTGGTTATTATTCCACTGACCTATTCCCCGTGTCCCGGGCGATGGTGGGCTCTCAGAAGTGCAACCCAACAGCTGTGGGAAGACAGCCTGTGCTGAAGAATCTCAGCAAGAAAGAGGTGCCCCTGGGGTCAGAACGCCGCTTTCCTTCCCACACCAGCGGCCGAAACATGCTGGCACACTCGCTGGCTTGAAGGGTCGCCTCTCTAACCACCTGGGTTGGGAGAGGTGGTCCCATCACAGACACCTTAGCTAGCGTAGCCCCTTCACCTGCCAACATGGCCATGGTTTCCCTGTGCTGCTGAGGAACGGCCCTTTTCAGGAAAGGAAGGCAAGACCCTGCCTCACTCAATACACAGCCCCCTTCCCCTCCCACCGACTGCCTAGCCCACCTGTGTCCCGCCCGCCCGTTTCCTGAGATCAGCCGTCGTCTTGTGCGTCTCTTGTATCTTGGTCCACCAAACACCTGTTTCCTACAGTTCTCAGGAGTGTGTCTAGACATGTACATCACATTTTAGATTTTTTTTTTAAGGTACAATATGTAGCTCTAGGTTGAGGGAAAGCGTCATATTCAGTTTCACAATAACTGGGATGGATGGATCTCACCCTTTCCTTTTATTCTTGCCTCAATCTCTTGACACGTTTACTTCCAAACTCCCACTCTAATCACGGAAATTCTTCAGCTTTCATGAACTCCACCCTTCGGAAAAATCTAAATTGTGGCAGCGCCTGGCAGCAAAAAGCCCCCGAGCCCACCTGAGGGGAGCCCACCGACAGCCGTGCTCAAACGTTGGCCCCTCTGGGTTGCAGGATTCCTAAGAAGAAGACTAAACGATCCCAACTGGCCTTTTAAACTGGGAGTGACCCGCAGCATCTGCTCCTTTCCCACAGTCCCTCCCGTTTCCAACTGTACCTGAGAGGCACACCTGCCTCTCGTGGTCCTTACTGTGCAGCTCCCGTCTCGATGCCCACGTGCCGGACACAGCTGAACTGGAGAAAGGAATCATGGGCATGAAAACTGTGAAATCTGCAAATTCACCAAGGTTCGCGGGTAGATGTTTTCCAGCAGAGCTGCGTGGGTGGGAGGCAGGGAAAAGGCTGGCTCCTGGAACACAGTCTGAAACCAGCTGGGGTCAGAAGTCATCACAACAGGCGGGCCTTGAGGCAAACCCAGCCAGCACTCCTTCTGATGAACACAAAGGATCGACTAACTACTAACTGTTCACATTCAAGGAGTATTCATTTTACCAAAAGAATCACCAGAAAGGCCACTTATATAGTGAACTCACTATCCCAACATTCCTGGATTTTGAAATAAAATTTCACCAAAATCCAACATAGAGTGTTTTTTTCAGAACAACAAACACAAATAGCGAACACCTGTGGTGACGTGAAGGCTTTGAATTGGAGGCTCTCGCTCTCCTGCCCTAGTGAGCCCACCCAGCTATCCGCAAACTGGTGGTAGGAAGCGGGGGTCTGTTTCTAGACGATTGTGTGCACTTTCTGCACAAGGAGGCCTGGGCGTGGACCACGCCTGACTGCAAATGCCGGCCCAGCAGCCCCGACCCAGCCAGTCCAGCCTGGGGCCGGCCCAGGCTTTTATCTTAAGTCTCCAAGTCGTTCACAGTCCTCTTAGCCCAAGTCCCCGGAAGTAGCCAGAAGAGCCCTGTAAACACTTGGCTGGGGCCAACCACCACTAGCAAGCTCCAAGCACTTGGACCGAAAGATAAGCATCGCCAGACACAGAAGCTCAGTCCCTGCCATTCCCACCTCCCGGCTCCAGGTAGGTGCCCTGGAAGACAGCTTTCACCCCAAATAAAGCAGAGACCCACCTGCTGCGCTAGAGAATGGTAACGACGGGGACTTCGTGTAGGAAAGCAGCCTGGGGTCAGCTTTGTGCAGCCACGACTTCTTGTTTTCTGTTGACCAATAACCTGTGAACTAAAGGCAATTTCAGAACTGAGATGTGAAACAGATTCGTTCTGGATATATTTTTCTACAAGGGGCTTAAAAAGTAATCGAGTGGTTTCTCAGAATGTGTTTTATTCAGATACCATGGACGCTGAACCATCCTCATCACCAAACCCCATAGCTCACTCTCTCTGATCCTCCTCTTCAGAAGCAGGCCTGCAGGAGAGCTGATCACGCCACCTCCCTCCTACACATCCGCCAATCTACCTCACACTTTCCTCCCTGCACCCAGCACCGCCAGGTGCTGCCCCCATGCCAGGAGGCCAGACAGGTGACGTGGATGACAACAGTGCTGACATGAAGTCCTTTGCCTTCCTCCCCGACCCAGGATGCAGATCCCACTCCAAGCGCAGTCAGAACCCATGGCACACAGCCCCTTGCTGCCCAGAATCACCTCCCCCCCCAAACACTTGCTTGCAGCCCTTTGGAGTCAGGTGAGCAAGACTAGAGAGAACTCAGAACGTCAGGAAAGTCAGCTACTATCAGACAGAAACTGTCGACAGGAATAGAGACCATGACATCTGCGCCAGCCTCATCCCTGAGAGGGCCTACGCGACACCTGCCTCCATTCCAACTTCATTCTCTGCTTTTCCTGCTTCCTCCCTACGCCTTGAGCCTCCTGTTCCTTCCATTCAAAAGGCCACTGACCTCACCGCCACACCAGCCCCTTGCTTTGGGGTAGAAGTAAGCCGTCACTCACAGGGCCAGATGCTATTGTCTCTCTCCTCCCAGGCTGGCATGGAGGCAAAGCAGTTTTTCTAGAAAGTCACGAGCTGCCTTGGTTTCTCTGCAGAATCACAGAGATCACAGGACAGAGATGCTTTAACATTTTAAGGGGGGAATGCCTCCTCAAGGTGTGACTGCAAGACCCCAAATACCTGTCGGAATACAGCCCACTTCCTGTGTGGTCTCCACCACATGACCAGCCAAGTCACTGGAGGACCTGAGCGTCTTCCCTGGGCCTGCAGGCTTCCGGCACCAGCATCTGGCAGTCAGCAGGAGCCCAGCAAGCATGGTCTCACACATCCTTTGGAGCTGTGAGCAGCGAGTGGGAATGTAACTGTACCCGGTGTGTGAAATTATGGAAAATACAGGGAGAATGGGAATTGGTCTCCAAAGTTCACAACAAGGCTTCTTTAACCAGTGCCAGAATACTGAGTATGTTTTTGTGGGGGTTTTTGACTAAGCCACAATTCACACACCCCTCTTTTCAAGCTCATCTTAACTAATGTAAAACCATCCCTTCCCCCTGGGGCCCCAGAGAATGTGGGTCATGATCAGAAGGCTCTAGAGGGCTTAGCCTGCACTCCACAAAGCAATAACCGTTGACTCGCCCCTACCCCACGCCAGGTGACACGTGCTGTCCTCATGTCCACATGTCATCATGGCAGGATCGGAGCACGCTGCCTTTTGGGGGACTCTTCAAGATCAGAGCTTCATTTCTAAGGAAGGGCCACCAGGATTGGCTGGGTACGGGGCCCAAGAGCTCTCACGTGAGAAAGTTCCCTAAATCTAAACCTTCATCCACTGCCCAGCATGACATCTGCCTTAGGTGTAAGAGTTGCTGGTCCCCTGCTCCTACAGCTGCTTCAGAGAGGTG